AATCCAGATTGTTTGACTTCAGATCAGACTCATTTTATTATAACACATAGCACAGCCGTCTCCTCTAGTTCTTCATATCACAGCACAAATGTCTGAAATACAGGAATAAAGGAAGGTTTCTGACTATATGCCCTCAAAAATAAGTATGCAGTTAGATACTTACCCATATAAATGAGTCGCCTCAACTGGCTATTGAAGAACCAATCGCAGCCTTTGTCCTGACCAGGCAATGGATGAGCTGGGAGAGCCTGACCCACCTGACTCCCACATCTGATGAGGATGTCAGGATAGGGTGGGAGGTCTTTGTGCACCACCAGGAGGTAGTTCCTAGGAGCAAAGCTGTCAAATGTTGCTGAGTACTGAAGAGGAGAAAAGCACAATAAGTCTCAGTCAGTCATGAACTCTCTCCTCTCGAAAAGAGTCAAAGTAACACAGAGTGAGTTGTTTACGGTTAGGAAAGCTCAAAGCCAGACTATGTCTCTCTCATGGTAAATAGGCATACTTGAACCTATTCCATAATAAGTGTATAATCAAGCTACAAAATCATCAAATGTGCAAACTTAAGCTGTGAAATTCTTGTTCAGAGCCACAATTAACAAAGAAGGAAACTGAGACCCAGACAAGTGAACTGACTTCTCTTGGGACAGACAGCAGTAAGAGATTGGGCCATGTCCAGAATTCTCACCTAGTTTCCTCACAACAGGAAGAGACAGGCAGTAGTAGTAGCATCCAGCATTTATAACAGCAATAGCTAACGCCAATGGGGCATTTGCTGCATGGTCAGCACTATTCATTTGATGTATTCAGTCCTTGAGCAACCTCGTAGATAGATAGATAGATAGATAGATAGATAGATGATGATAGATGATAGATGGATAGAGATAAATAGATAGATAGATAGACAGAAAAGTAGAAAGGCAGATATCCTTTTGATGGCCATGGTGAGAAGATCAAAAGAGACTCTGTTCTGACTTCCTCATAAGTACAGTGCACCTAAAGCAGCTTCTAACTCCCTAAGGTCGACTCTCATGACAATGTGGAAGGATTTTTGTAACAAAGGAAGAGAGAACTGTATAAAAAGGAGATAACTCAGCTCAAAGGAGCCCATTGAATGACTTCTTCCCTTTATAAGTTAATTTTTTATTATTGTTATTGTTACTGGAAAATGTCCCCACTTTTCCTCTTGGCTGTTCCTCTTCACTCCCCCAACCCAGCTTGGAGAAGCAGATTCTTATCTGCAAGTTTATCTTCAACCACAAGGTGGCAGTATGAAACATAGAAATGAACTGTTAAGATACCTGCGCTATTATCACTTAAAGCTGGGACAAGTTGGTGTCTAATGTGCACTTTAAAAAAAAAAAAAGTAACTATGAGGAATGTTTAATGCTTAGAGTCTACTTTATATAGATTAATAAGTTTTAAATTTCAGGCAGAACAATTTTTTTGCATTCAAGATGGGACGTAAACATTCTAAAACTGTCTCATTTCACAAACCAAATTTCATTCGTTTATATGTCATTTAGCAAAAGTGCTGCTTCGGTTTCCTTTATAGGCATTAGATACTATTTACAGCCTCTTCCTTCACAGACGGACAGATGGGGACCCCTTACTAGGGATGAGACTTACGAGTGACTGAGATTACCTGTAAAGATCTATCGATCCAAGGACTCTGAAACTGTAGTGTGTAGGTTTCTTGATCCAAAAGCAGAGCCATCCAGCCATGATGGCTAGACAACGTGTCACATACATAATTGACAGTGGTTGTCTTATTTCTGCTGTCAGTCATGGTTAAATTCTTAGAAACACCAAGGGCATTCATTCTAGAGCGATACAAAATAAGAAGTTAAAATTAAAGAGTTCCGTGATTATTTTCCCATTCTAAATCTAATGCCTGCCTGTTTCATTGATTGTAATCGTCTTTCTGTTCTCTCCTGTGTGTCTTGGCCCTTTGTCTCTGTGTGTATGGAGGTTTTCATAGTCTATGTAGGTAAGCAAAGCCCACTAGGAAGTTACCACTGTATCACTTACGCGTTACTGTGTGGTACAAATAGGTAGCATTTCCTCATACCTGAGACCGCTAATAAATGCCACCTTAGTGACTGCACATGGGCCAAGATGAAAGGCACTGATTTAACAAATAAAGGTCTTCAGCAAGAGTTTTGCCAGGTACCAAGTTTGTTCACAGAAGAAAGCACGTTATTTTTGGTAGTTTGATATTCCTGTAGGAGCCTTGATGTAGGCTCAGGATTGATGTGCCTAGACTATTAGGTACCTTCCCAGCTTCCCATAGAAATGGTATCAGTAGCCATCTCTAGAATGAAGAGGTGACCTGGCTTCTTTCCCAGGGACTGGTCTAGTCACCAGAACTCACTGCTGTGACTGCACCTCTATATTCTTGTTTGTTTGTAAAAAATATGGATTGTTATTACTTTAAGTTAGAGATGTGTCCTTCTTCCTTTTAGTAATCTCTGTGCCAGCGCAAGCCACTGCACACATTGGTACTAAATGTATTCATTAAAGGATTGAAGAGTGATCCAATAAGATCTTCCAAAAACTGTCAGTGCTGTTTTGCTAATTTATATAAAGGTTTTCATGTGGAACTGCATTTTACCAAGTGAGAAAACCAAGGCAGATTGTGACAATATCAGAACCCCCTGCATTTTTCTATATCGGTCCATCCAAGAAAGCAATTTTTAAGACTTTATTAGAACATAAACAGATTGGCTTACATGTTAAGACTCTAAAACTGAGTTGAAAGTGACCTTGAAAATAAAGATTTTTTAAATTATATGCACATATAACTGTCTTTCCCCTGTCGTTTACATTTCAGGAGAACATTTAACTGAGACATTTTACTACAAGCAGATAAGTAAGTTTAAGCTCTGAAAATAAAGATAAACAAGGTAAGTGGGACATGAGTGCATTTAAAACCAGTTTGTAACCCAATGTCATATTAAGAAAAGGAAACCTTTTTCTGAGAGATAATAATTTCTGCTCTATCACCCAGCTTGCCATATCTCCTGGGTTCAAACTAGACTCTTGCTTTAGACTCCTATGTAAGTGAAACGACAGCTGAGAGAGCAATGTTAAATGCCTAAGTAACCAGGAGGTAGGAGATCTGAAATTCCAGGCCTCCACGGGCCACGTAGAGAGATCCTGTTTCAAATAAACAAAATGATATCAATAATACACCAACAAATTAAAGTCAAAGAATTAAAATACAAATGCAAATTTTCATATACTAGGGCATGTGAACTTGGGCAAGTTAAACTCTGTTCAAATAAACAAAATGATATCAATAATACACCAACAAATTAAAGTCAAAGAATGTAAAATACAAATGCAAATTTTCATATAGTAGGGCATGTGAACTTGGGCAAGTTAAACTCTGTCCAAATTTTGGTTTTCTTCCTTGTAAAACAGCACGTTTAAACTTCGCTGCAGTACAGCCTTGAGACCATCGGCACGAAACACTCAGTGGCCACCAGAAGCCCCTTCAGCATCCACTTGCAGCAGCTTGAGAATCTCAGAGGAGGCATATTGAGTGCTCTTTACCACTTATTTGAATGTCTAGACCATCACATGTAGCCAGCAGTGGTGACTGAAACTGTTATTTAGAAAGAACACATTCAAGAACCACACAGTGGAGTTACAAAATAAAATTGCAAAGACAAATCATGATGTTTAAATTTATTTTTATTTTTGTGTGTGTTTTGCCTGCATGTGTGTAAGTGCACACAGAAACCAGAAGAGGACATCAGATCCCCTAGAACTGGAGTTGGTTATTAGCCACCAAGTAGGTGCTGGGAACTGAACCCAGGTCCTCTGGAAGAGCAGCCAGTGATCATAACCACTGAGCCATCTCTTCATCCCTTCATAATATTTTAAATAAGTATTCAGTTTTCTGTTGAGCTATATTTACAGTTAGCCTGGGGCACACACTGCCACAAGCCACATGTTGGACATGCCTAAGAGGTTTGTCTGTAATGTTTGGTCAATTTAAAACACAATCACACTGGGGCTGGAGAAATGGTTTGGCAGTTAAGAGTGTATACTGCTCTTCCAGAGGACCCAAGTTCAGTTCCCAGTACTCAAGAGGGGCATTTCACAACTGCCTGTATTTCCGGCTTCAGGAACTCCAATGTCCTCTTCTGAACTCAATGGGCATCTGTACTCACAGGTATCTTCCTACACACACACACAAACACATTTACATATTAAAGATAAAAAGCAAATCTTTAAAAACTTGAGCTTTGCAATTTCATTTTATTTTATTATTTTTATTTTATGTGTATGATTGTTATGCCTGCATGTAGGTAAATGCACCCTTATCATGCAATGCCTGCAGAGGACAGAAGAGGCTGTCAGATCCCCTAGAACTGGAGTTACAGACAATTGTTAGCTGCCATGTGGGTGCTAGGATTCGGACCTGGATCTTCTGTAAGAACAGTCAATGTTCTTAACCGCTGAGCCATCTCTCCAGCCCAGAGCTTTGCAATTTTCATGTTACTGAACATTAGCCCTGGCAGTGTGGCACTTAATATATATTTCTTGTGAGATTAAATGTATTTGTTTACTCTATTAATGAAATAAGAGGGATCAAAAACATTTAGAGCACTCGGGAATAAAAGAAATTATTCTTTCCTCAGATTTACCCCACCAGTGTTATCTAAATCTTTAGGAAGCTTAGATGGGGGGAAATTTCCTTTCTCTCTTTAGGCTTGAGATACTTAGGGTTTACCTCCTCAGTTTACATCAGTATTTGTACTAGAATTACTGAGTAACCCTTAGCTCATATTCTTGGATTCAGGATGGACAGGAAGGTGATGTGCTCTAACTTCTAATACATTGAAAAATTTCCCTCCGTGGTGTTTCATCTTGTCCCTACTCCAAGTTGTAATTTTTCATTATTGTTATTGTTTGATCCAGGGCTTTATTATATAGCCAAGGCTGGCCTTAAACTCACTATGCAGTTCAGATTACCCTTGACTTCCCAATCCTTCTGCCTCAGCCTCCAAGGTACTAGGATTGCAGGCATGTGTTACCACACCCAGATAAGACCATAAAATGTAGAGACCCTTTAGCGTGCTAAACTTTCTGCCTTACTACTTGCCACATATCATTCTGCCTGTCTCTTCTTCTGATTGAACTCATGGGTCCCAGCAGAGTATCCAGCATCATTTTCCTAACTAATACATTTTAAATAGACATCTGAGAAATAAACATAAAATTAAAATGACAAAAGGAGATAAGTTCAAACCAAGAAACATCAAAGAGGTAGACGAGTTGTCTGTAGAAGGCAGTGCGCTCTAGATCTAGGATGTGCTTTGCCACAGTTCAGAGAACCAATATAAATGATCCACATTTCACAGTACATCTTTCAGCTTCCACAGAGATAGAAAGACTCCAAACAATGAGCTACAAGGCCTAATCCAGAAGAGACTAACTGATAAATCAGAACTCCTAATTATTTATTTACTGTATGAAATAAAAGTTGTCCCTCATATCATTACAATTCAAAAAATATTTGTTTGGGGGGGTGGCTAGAGAGATGGTTCAGTGGTTAAAAGTACTAGCTGCTCTTGCAGAGGACCTAGTTTGAATCCTAACACACACACATGGCAGTTTACAACCATCTAAGTAACTCCAGTTCCGGGGGATCTGATGCCCTCTTCTGTTTTCTATGAGCATTGCACAACACAGGTGCATGTACATGCATGCAGGCAATACACTTATTAAATAAATAAATAAATAAATAAATAAATAAATAAATAAATAAATAGAAAAAGGATAAATTATTTAATGAATTAAAAGTCTTAAATATGCCAAAATATGGCAACCAGCTATCTTATGATATTTCTCCCTAACAAAGAATTCTATACAGAAAATCAATTCTTACAAACTTATTAGTCAAAGAAAATGAACATTTGATCATAAGTGTAAGAGTATGGGACAGAAGAGATGTTGAGTGTGCACTGCTCAACACCTAGGGCAGAGGGCTCACACCCACCTGTAATTCTGAACTCCAGGGAATCTAATACCTTCCTCAGCCCTCTTCATACATTAGACTCATATGATACCCACACAGAGACATGCATCCATGCATGTCATTAAAAATAAAATAAGTTATAAGTTATAAGCCATCAGAGTTTGATAAGTCAACCCCAAAACATATATTTACCAAAATGACCTTTATACTTACATTGCTGGTTGGAAATCCTCTTTGTAGTATGTACAATGTACTTGAAGTAGGTCATGAATTTTAAAAATACTAAGGTTTCCATGGGAATTCATATTTCTTTCATCCTACTCAAGTGCTGTCAATTAAACTGCTTCAGAAAACTTCCTTTTTAAAATATTTTTATTGATTTGAGAATTTCATAGAATGCATTTTGATCATAGTCAGACCCTTCCTCCTCTCCCGTCTATCTTCTACCCCCCTACCACAACTTTATGTCCTCTACTATTATTTGTTTTTTTTTTTTCCTAAGGCCTATCAAATCTAATCTGTGTTTCCCAAGTGCTCTTGCATGTGCATGTGTACATCTAACTCTTGGAGTTTGGTCAGTCTACCAGACATCATCCCAGTAAGGAAAACTCACTCTTCTTTCCCAACATCTATCAATTGCCTATGAACTGTCTAGCCACAGGGTCTTGGCCATGATAACAGTGTCAGGTATGCACGCCATCTTGTGAAGCAGACCTTAAACTCAGACCTTAAATTAGAAGATTGTTGGTTACTCCCACAATACTCATGCCACTATTGCTCCAGCAGGTATTTTGCCAAGTCATTTGTTATTGTAGCTCATAGGATTCACAG